TTTTTTTTTTTTTTACAGATATTAACATTTTAAAGCGCCTATAGAAAATCCCATCGCCCTTTTTTCCCCACATTTTTCATCTTGCTGCATTACATTTCTAACAGGGGATGAGTTCATTTTCTTTCATTTGTTGGGAAATTGCATCTTGTTGTTTCTCCCTCCCTTCTCTATTTTTCTAAGGAGTGACTCCTTGGTGGGCCATCGTCTTTGTAACTCTGGCAGAGACTCATCTACACTCTTCCTACAGTATGACTCACTCAGCTGAGCTCTGCTCTCCACAGACATATTCGGATAAAAGAAGCCAGAGAGCTGCAATCAAAATAGATTGAAACCATATGTGTTAATGAAATATGGAGTTTTTTAAAAGGTCTGTTAGTTAGATAAGTGTTTGGAGAGGTATATCTTAATGAAAAGCCATTCAAATATCACTTGAGACAACTATGCGATTCTTAAAAAAGCTGAGGTGTAACTGAAATTTAAATCCACTTGAATGATAATGTACAAAGCAAATACAGTTGCATGTCAGAAAATCGTTGATAGATCAATAAGTGAGTGAAGTTAATCACTCATGCTCATTCGTTCAGAAGAACAACAGGCTAACAACAGTCAAACCCAATTTTAATTCCATGCTAAAATGACAAGAATCCACAAAGCAAGTTCAGGGAAAATGTTTTACCTTTTCCAAAAGCTTTCTTTTTCTCTCTTCTTGTTTGTCTCCTTCCGTTTGTCCACAGATCTCCCAGAGTGGTGACTCTTAACTGTGATCCCTCTCCTCCTCTTCTGCTTTCTCTCTGCTCTGTGATGAAACACTCAGTAGGAGAGGGTCTGCTGTGGCTTCCTTAGAGGAGGAAAGCTTTTTATAGACGCATGAGGTATGGAGCTCGGAGTCTCAAGGCCTCAGGGTGTGATTGAGGTAAGGGGTCTCCTGCTCCTCTCTGGATGGGGAGGTGTGTGTATTTGTGTGTATGGTTGGTATAGGCCACCCACACACTTTTTAATCAATGGTACAACTCACGTCACCAGACAACAGGTGAAGCATTAGTGAACTAGTTGTTAAACTGCTGTCCTCCTCTTCTTCCTCTTGCTTCTTTCACTGGTTGCAATCTTACAAGCTTACAAGTATCCTTAATGGGTTAGGATTATTTGGATGTTTCCGTGCTCTCAGGTAGGATTCTAAAACGTTTACATTATCTTACACAGATTGAATGCAGCAATTGCAGTTCATTAGTGGACTCCTGTTAATCCCGGCTCTTAAATCCCTCAAAGGTCAATCCAAATTGTTGAGAGCAGCGTCTTTTAAAAAAGGCTGGCGAGCAGGAGTGAAGTGTGTTAATCAATTTGACTGATTGGATCGTTTTTCTGCGGTTCTGGTTTACAAGGGGTGCATGTGTCCCTGTGTGGAAACTTCATTAGGAAGACCTGACTCACTGGCTGGACGTCATGACTACACCTTGAATGGATAAGATACACACAAACACACACAGTGCTTTATAAAAGGAAAAGATTGAAAAGAAAATCACTTTCCTTTCACCTGTTAAATGCCAATAGGTCTTCCATATACACAGCTTTCTGTTTGGGCGTATAGATTTTTTCAAGGAATAATATACAAGGACAAACCTGACATAATAACGCGAGTTTGATGGAGTAAAGAGAGGGCTACATGTGCCTGCTGTAAGAGAAACTGATAAATGCATCTTTTTTGTTCATTTGTACCTGTTCTGTCTGACTTCAAAACATTTATTCGTTCAAGCATTCAAGTCTTCACCATGTCTCCAAGAGGACAAAGTGACTGAATAAGTAGTAAGACTTGAACCGTTTTGTCAGTAAATGCTGATGTATGCCATTTTATTGGCATAAGTACTTGCCAATAAAATCTTGAAATAGCATCCTGTAAACTAGTGCAAAGTAGCAGAGTTACCATGTAAATGAATCAAGCTATATTGTCAGTTAAACATAAATCATGAGTCGTGCTGAGATTCATTTAAAGTAAACTGGCTCTGTTCAATGAATGCTACAACTTAAACATTGTGCATTATTATATTATTCTAATTTATATATTATATATTATTCTAGTTGTGTCCCTTTTGCCACATATAGCAGCCCAAAATTAAATATTGTGTGTATTTTAGTTTTTTATTTGAGCATGTGCAGGTTTGTGGAAACCTTTCCTTTTGGACAATAAAGATTATTACTCCAAATGGTATTATTACATATATTAAAATAGAAGGAAGATTTAACAGTGATGTCATATAAAAAAACAACAAGCAATACTGGAAGGTTTTCTAAACACATAAAAAACATCAACTATTAAAGATAATAGAAGGCTTTGTTGTTGATAAAGTTGCCCAAAATCCATTTTATTTTATCTAATATGTGTTTCTTTGCCAACAAGTCAAATGTGTTTCCTTCTGTGGTCAAACCCTAAAATAGTAAAAAGGGGAGGTGAATCACAAGATACCACTGTGTCTAAAATGTGCTTATTTTGAAACGACCACAAGGTCGAGTAAGAAAGCGAACATCTGGCTCACTGATGTCAGGATGCCAACAGTGTCTAAAGGTCACGAATTAAGGCAAATAATCCAATTCCTTTGACTATAGATATTTTATCTGAGAGCGCAGGTCTCCAATAAGAAACAGACACTGCAAATCTTAAACAGTTATTAGGTTGGGGGAAGTTATGAAAAAACACGTCTGTTCTCATCATTCTATCGGTTACATATCTGTTCAAGCTGTTTATCTTCTGGGAAGAGGACACATTGAGGTTGAATTCTTTTTATATTGCTCAATAGAAAAACACTGTTTTCCACGCTTTAGTGAACTTTAGTCTGACCTTGCTGAATGTTTTATTTGTTTTGTTGGTCAGGACAAAGAGAACATTGAATTAAAAAGTAACATTTGTGTTAAAATGTTGTTTCTTTATTTGATAATCAATAACACAGTTAGTAATTAAACTGATGAAAAGAAAGGTGGAGACAATGTTTTTGTGTCAAACGTAAAGAATGAATCATGAATTATGTTTACCTATGACAATATATCAAACTTCAGATACATCTTTAAGTGTTTTAGGAGTTTTTCTTTATGGAAAACTGTCAACCCTTTATCTTCTAAGAATGCAAGTAAAAATCTCTAATTACCCATCACACAGTTTTAAATGGCCCTGTTCCTCCACCCTTCCTATAAAAATAAAAAATAGCTTTTTAACTGATAACCTGTTGTCTTACACTTCACGATAGTCTTTAGATTCCTTAGCAAATCCTCATGTTCCTTACATGGGCGGAAACTAAAATTATTTAGTTACCTTTTGTTATCCATTTAAAAAAATCGAAAACAATGTTTCTCTATCAATTTATTGTTCTTTGCAATAACATGAAATGTGTAGATAAGTTTAAACTTTTTATATTCACAGTGTTGATGCCACATATTTCACCTCTATACGGACATTTTTACCTGCAGCATCTTGCAGTTATGATATCTAGATTTTCTGAATATAATCTACACACATTTTTAAGTGGAAATGGTGCAAAAGGTGCTGCTGTAAGATCTTTGGGTTTACAAATTACATTGTGAGCAGTAGGAGAAGCAGATAACGCTTTACGCAATCTTTTTAATCACAAAAATCACAAGAAAATATATAAATATTTTAGAACATAATGTTTGCAGATTAAAGATGGTTAAAATGATAATGAGAAAAAAAGATTTAAGACCTGAAAGTGGACAGTCCAAAGTAGGAGTCATTCTCTCTTCTCCCTCTGTAGGTTGAAGACACTTAACCTCCATGTGGCCCTCCTCTGCAGGTGGTGTTTGTTCTGGTCGGCTCCTGCTTGTGAATTTGAGTCATTACTGGATCTGAATGCTAAAACAAAAAGAGCATGCTTGTTAAGCCACCTCTTCGATGGATAAATAATGGTTAAAAACAAATGGAGATGATGCATTCCAACAGCACCTAAGAGTGTAATTCACCTCCCTGTTGATGTTGCTTTCACTGCGTAATAATAATAATGCAACCCCCAGACAAGGCTGTGCAGGGTGTGAATCACTGCCTAATAATGACTCTGCCATTTAACCAACTGCTATGTATACAAGTATTATCATCTCATCAACCTGCAGAGGTTTTTAGAGAGTATCTAAAGAGACTTCCTTTCAGATCTCACCTATGCAGCTGCAGATGGAGATATCATATGGCATCTTTGCTGCACTGAACAGTAAACATTAGTGTTCAAACAAGGCAGATATTGTGTAAGTATATCCTTTTTTTTTTTTTTTTACTACTTTACCTTATCTATATTTGGCGTCTGTAAAACCTGGTTAAAATAATGCATTTTTATTATGCTATATACCTGTGATTGGTGTTGATGGTACTTTGTATGCAGGCAAAGGGAAGAATTGCCCCCTTTTTTTTTTACACAATGCACTTGGTTCTGTGGGACCCCAATTAATATGGAAGTCAACAAACCACCAGGGTTACAGACATATTGGTTCAGAATACTGACCAAATTGAAACCATATCAACACCATTTGATATTTACACACACAATAGGGTGCCTAATAGTTTGAGGTCAACGGGAGGACTGGAAACTATTTCACACATGAGAACATTTAGCACCACGATGATTTAGGAGTAACCCTCCCCCTGGACTGTTTGACTGACACTCACATGACCAGTGCTTGGTACAAAGACCCCTCAGAGCACCAAGTAAAAACAGCACATGTGGTCTGACTGAATGAGCTCTGAGATGAAAACCAGCTCAGCATATTGTCATGTGAACAGTTTGAACTGCAGCTGTTGTCAGGTCCCAATGAAGACACACCATGATCAACTGGGCCAGAAACCTACATACTTCATGTTTTTATAGAATGTTGACATACAGACAAGTAAAAGTATAATCAGGAAAATGTATCCAAAGTATCTAAGCAGTGCTGTAGAAATATGTCAGCTGTGACTTTTATACTATTATATATTATTATATATTCATTCTGGATTAATCTGCTGATTATTTAGTCTGTAATTGATAAATTATTGATTTGTTCAACTTTAGAAAAAAGTGAGAAATTCACTATTTGTGCAAAGTCCAAAGTTCTAAACGGCAACAAATACCAGATCTCATATAATGTTACTTTAATAGTGTAATAAAAATAGCACATTGTAAGCAATTATTATATAATCATACTGTAATTCTTAGACCAGATCTGTATTGTTTACCTTACTGAGGCTGTGTCCCCCCAACTTTGGATTTAGCTGTGGTGAAGGGAATTCCCAAAAATGTAACAAATGCTGTTTCAGATGGGGCTCTGCCCTCAATAGTATCCCCAGATTGTTTCTTAAAAGCTCGATCCAACATGAAAGGTTATTCTTTATTATATCATATCAGGTTTTATTAGATATTACGAGACTAAAAGCAATTTTAGAAACAGCTCTTGCTCCACCAGAACACACATGAACACAAACACACCACACCACAAGCATTCCTCTTTTTTTATTTGCTTGTTAGCATGTTGTTCAGCACCACTGTCTACAAATCTAAGGTTTTACTTTTTTCTCTTTTTTTGGTGCTGTTTTTGTCTGTTAATTAACAAAAGGTGACAGAACATGCCCTGAAGGGAAGACACTCCACTTTAATATGAATAATTTTGTTGAGGCTGACAAGTCATTATTGACCATGGGAGAATTTGTCAATTAAAACTTAAGGTCCCTTTCCATTGTGTCCAGAACAATGGAGAGTTTGAACATCTACAGCAAACTGGCTGAAGAAGAGTAGATACTCCAGAAGAAATTAGTATGTCAACCTTGAGTTGAACGGGTTTTGTTTGCTTT